CTTTTTATTATATTGTACTTTATTGGATTTATACTTTGTGGTCTATAGTTCTTATTACAGTGCTTTTCGTACTTGTTACATAGTTGACATGGATTAGGATCATCTCCATGAATCAAACTCGAAGACAAGTATCTAATATGTATTCCGGAACTTACAAATGCTGAATCAAAAATCGGAATAGGAATAGGATAAGTTAAATTCCAAAAGCAATCACTCCTCTCGAGCAAGCACTTTCGAGAATCCACGGACTGTCTGAGGCTGCAGATGCATCTTCTATCTCTCATGCAATTGCATATGAAGCTCAACAATCAAATTGCCCTCTCGGCGGATGGAATCACTCCAACTCTAGGGAATCTCTCCAAAGCTAGGTAAACCCTCTCTCAAAATGTTCTCATCTCAGTTGTGTGTCCATCAAGAAAATAAACAAGGCTATTTATATTAAATGAGAAATTAATCTAAGCCACACATCTTAAGTGGCAAGCTAATCTAAACCACACATTTTGATTAAGATCAAAGGATCACAACCTCCAAGCAAACAAGTAGCTTCGACCGGGTTCGGGTTGCAATCGGTCCGTCTAAGTTCGGGTTCGGGTGATCCGGAGCCGTGTCATCCTCTCCCCCTTCGGCTGCCTTGTCCTCAAGGCTAGTAGTAGCATTTTTGGCTGCCTTGTACTCAAGGATAGTAGCATCTTCAGCGTGATAAAAAAGGCTCAAATCGGCAACGTTGAAAGTCGTATTCACGCCCAAGTCTTCCGAAAGTGCAATCCGGTATGCGTTATCGTTTATGCGCTCCAACACACGAAATGGACCAGCTCCATGAGGAGAAAGTTTCCCACGCCGCAGCTCCGGAAAGCGTTCTCTATGCAAATGTACCCATACCCAATCTCCAGGTTGAAATATCATGCGTTTTCTTCCGCGATTGGCATAGCGTGCGTATGTCGCGGCCGCCTTATCAATGTTCTCCCGTACTTTGGCATGTAATTCCTCGATTGATGTAGCTCGATCCCTGTCACTAAAATTCAAATGCTCGCTACTAGGTAGTGGCAACATATCGGTAAGAGTTAAAGGATTAAAACCATAAACAGCCTCAAACGGGGACAATTTAGTAGTAGTACTAACATGCCTATTATAAGAAAATTCAACATGTGGTAGGCATTCATCCCATGTTCGACCATTATCATGTACCATGGCACGTAGAAGATTACCTAAGGTACGATTGACCGCCTCCGTTTGGCCATCAGTCTGGGGGTGACACGTGGTAGAGAAAAGTAAGTGCATCCCAATTTCATGCCAAAGACTTTTCTAAAAATAAGATACGAACTTTACATCCCTGTCAGATACAATAGTTTTTGGGACCCCATGCAATTTCACAACCTCTCGAAAGAAAAGCTTTGCCACATGACTAGCATCTGTCGTTTTCGCACAAGGTATAAAGTCAGCCATCTTGGAAAATCTATCACCCACAACAAAAATTGAGTCTTTAGCACGCAGTGTCCGAGGTAAACCAAGAACAAAATCCATACAAATATCTAACCAAGGGCCTTCCGGAGTGGGAAGAGGAGTATACATACCATGGGGCTTCAAAGTACTTTCGCCACTCTACATGTAAGACACTTATCAACAAAAGAATCAACATGTTTACGCATATGAGGCCAGTAAAAGTGAACGCTAGGAACATCAAATGTAGCATGTCTACCAAAATGTCCAAGCATATGACTACCATGACTCTCCTCAATCAAAACATCTCTAATGCTACATCTAGGAATGCACAATTTATCACCATGAAACAAATAGCCATCATGCTTATAATAATCATCAAAACCATGCTTCACACACTTCCTAAATATATCACCAAAATCTACATCATACTCATACAACTCACGAATATGTGCAAATCCAACCAAATGTGTACGAGTATGATTAAGTAAAACATACCTCCGAGAGAGTGCATCAGCAACTACATTCTCTTTCCCTTGTTTATACTTAATCACATATGGAAATTTCTCAATAAAGCTTACCCACCGAGCATGACGTTGATTGAGTTACTGCTGCCCACGCAAATGCTTGAGGGTCTCATGATCTGTGTGAATTACGAACTCCTTTGGCAGCAAGTAATGTTGCCAAACTCTCAGGGCTTGCACAACCGCATATAATTCCTTGTCGTATGTCGAGTAATTAAGGGCTGCTCCATTGAATTTATCACTATAATAAGCAATCAGTCGTCCTTCTTGTAATAGTATTGCACCTATACCAACTCCACTAGCATCAAATTGGACTTCAAAAGCTCGTTCAAAATCGGGTAGTGCCAAAACCAGAGCATGTGTCAAACTATCCCGAAGCTTCTCAAAGGATGCTTCGTGACTTGCCTCCCACTTAAATGGAACATTCTTCTTTAAAAGGGAGGTCAATGGGGCTGCTATCACACTAAAGTGTGGTACGAATCGCCTAAAGAATCCACACATTCCAAGGAAACTCCGGACATTGGCCACACTTGTACATTTTTCCCATTCCCGAATTGCAGCAACCTTAGATTCATCAACCTTAAGACCATCTGCACCTACAACAAAGCCAAGGAAAATAATTTCATTAGTGCAGAAAATGCATTTCTTTAATGTACCATACAATTTAGCATTTCTTAATGCATGAAAAACTTGCCTAACATGTCCTAGGTGGTCCTCCAAACAAGTACTATAGACAAGTATGTCATCAAAGTATACCACCACAAACTTTCCAATAAATTCTCTCAACACATGGTTCATCAACCGCATGAAAGTGCTGGGCGCGTTTGTCAACCCGAATGGCATGACTAGCCACTCGTACAACCCAAACTTAGTTTTAAGAGATATTTTCCACTCATCTCCGGGTTGCATACGAATTTGATGGTACTCACTCTTTAAGTCAATTTTTGTAAACAATTATGCTCCATGCAACTCGTCAAGCATATCATCCAATCGAGGGATTGGATGTCGGTATTTCACAGTAATTGCATTGACGGCCCTGCAATCAACACACATACGCCATGAGTTATCCTTTTTAGGGACAAGTAAAACAGGTACAACACAAGGAGATAAAGATTCTCGAACCCATCCCTTATCAAGAAGCTCTTGGACTTGTCTTCGAATTTCCTCACTTTCTTTTGAATTACACCTATAAGCTGGCCTATTGGGGATTGATGAACTCGGTGCAAAATCAACACGATGTTCGATGCCTCGGAATGGTGGTAATCCAGGTGGTATATCATCCGGAAAAACATCCTCAAACTCTTTAAGCAAGTCTACAAAAGGAGGAGATGAGTGAGAAAAAGAATTATCGTCAATAACAAGTACTTCTTTGAGTAAGAGAATATAAAAGTAACTTCCCTCATCTTCTTGGTTACTGTTTTGGCGAATTTCTTTGTTAAACTCTTTGAGACTAAGCATCAGCTTGCTATCGTCTCCCTCGGAAGGTTTCGCCGAAACGGTAACAACAGCCCCTTTTGATTTTACCACATCTCGCATAGTCCTATGTAAATGTTCAGCATCATGACGGACGGTCTCGAGTGGAAGGGCAAAAATGCTCAGCTTCTTGCGACCTTTAGTGAACGATATTTGATTCTTATATCCATCGTACAAAACACGTCTATCAAATTACCATGGTCATCCCAAAATGAGGTGGCATGCAGTCATGGGACACACATCACAAAGGACATCATCGCTGAAACCACAAATCGAAAAGGTAACAATCGTTCGTCTGTCGACACGGACAGCTCCTTCATCGCTCATCCAATGTAGGTTATATGGTTTCGGGTATGGGGTGGTATTCAAACTCAGCTTCTCGACCACATAGGAACTAATAACATTGGTGCAACTACCCGAATCCACTATCATGGATATAGTATGTCCCGCTACCTTGCAATGACAATGGAATAGATTTTCTCGCTGTCCCGCATCCTTATCTTCGCGCAGTAAAGATGTCAAGGCACGCATTACTACTAAACTTAATGGATCCTCATCACACACTTCTTCAACGTCTTCATCACTTCCAGCCTCTGCTTCAGCCTCTACTACCTCATCGCCCTCACCATCATCGACAAATCCCCATTCGCCATTCTCCAAAATCATAAGGGTTCGTTTATTGGGGCATTGACCTGCATAGTGCCCTTGTCCATGACATTTATAGCACGTTACAATCTTTTCTCTTTGCTGTCCAAATCCTTTCCTTTGAACTTCGCAGCCTCATCCTTCTTATCAATTATTTTATATTTGCCTTTATCCATAATTTTATCGAAAGGCTTAGCGAAAACAATTCCCCTAGATCCGGTAGAAGATACAACCGGAGCTACAGAACTGGTTGGGAACTTCCTTTGAGATGACAATCCAGTTGAGGTTGGTCTCTTAAGCTGCTCCTCGCGTTTGATAGCCAAATCCACAGCTTCCCGAAGAGAACAAAAACGGTGCAGCTCAACCGTATCAGCTATCTCACGCCTCAAACCCTTAATGAACCGAGCTTCTGTCAATGACTCGCTCTCATCAATATCCAATCGCATCATCAAAATCTCCAATTCCTTAAAATATTCCTCCACCAATTTCGAACCTTGCACCAAGGACTGCAACTTGCTCTACCAAAAAAATGACTATTCACCACGGGTTCAAGGTTCATAACAATAACATCATAACAAATGGTTGTTTTAGTTACAATATAATACATAACAAAATCTTTTCACCGCCGGTCAACATTTCAGGTTAACTAATTACGGAATTTTTTCCGTAACAATTTCAAAGATGGTAAACTTTGATAAAAATAACATTAATTACGATACTTTTCGTAACTACTTCCATTTAATTTTTTTTGAATTTAATCGAATAAGTAAATAATAATAAAATTTTAAAAAAATTACAAATTAAAAAAACTAGTAAAAGAGCTATCACAGTTTTAAAAAAAAAAAGGACTTACATTTTTAATAACAGTTATAAGTTCCAACACTTTCCAACTTAGGGCACATCATTCCCCCCTCTCCCAATCGATCGATGGTGGGATCAAGCATCTACTTTGGCACCGGCGTCCAAGTAAGGATTTTAAGTTTTTTCTAGTAGGATTTGGGGTCGATCCACGGCTTTTCATCTCTTTGTCTGAACAAAAAAATCGATTTGGGCACTGTTAGTATTCAACTTCTTCCTCAGGGAGCATCCGCATTGGTGAGTACCTTTGGGTATGGTACGATTGTTTCTTCATTGTTAGGGTTTCTGTGTAGGGCAAGCTATTGAGCTCGATTTCATAATTTCGCTTGGGTAAACATCGTTCCATCGTGATATCTTGTGAAACTCTCATATTTCAAAACTTCTTAGGGCGATTTGAACAATCTCTAATTACTATGAGTTTTCATATCTGAAATCTATATGATGGGCTGCCCTTTGATTTGCAATTTTTTTTTTTTTAATTCTAAACTTTAGTTGGGACTATCACTAAAATTATTCTTCCTCTCAGTTTCATCAATTTTTCTTATATAAGAAAAGTAGACGACACTTGACTATGAGATGAAGAAAATATATACAATATTTCTCTTTACATTGGTTATTCTATATTTGGGTAAGTATGACATATAGTATAAGAATGGTTGACTTATTGGCTTTGATTTGAGAGATGCTCAATTGGGAAATAGGTAGCATACTAATTTAATGTGGAGATTCATAACTAAGCCATGCCATTCAAGTTCCTAGAAGTGAAAATCCAATTTCAGATATCCGTGTTTGCCTTTTCTTGGTAGTCGTCAGAGGACGATTTTGGCTTGTTGCTTGTTTGATTAATCAAATTTCAGAAATTTGTGTTTGGCTTTTCTTGATAATTTTAGTTTTAATGTTTACAGGATATACAAAAATTTATAATAATAATAATAATATGCAACAGCAGGGTACAAGCATATATTAGAAAAAAAAAAAAGGTTAAATAATGGAATTCAACAATCGACAAAACCTTCTTTTTGTGAATTAATTAAGAGTATGACTGCAACCTGCACCTGGTCTTTACTTGTTTGTATGGAGGAAGGCGTTTTGTGTGTATGTGTGTATTTTCAAGGATTCAAGAAACACAATTCAAATACGTAATTGTTTGTGTATATTAGTTACATTGTTGTTGTTTCAAATTTTTACTTGTTCTTTTACATTTATTTAAAAAAGAAAAGAAAAAGGTATATATTAGACATGCCACATTCACACACTTGACATTATTATTCGACTATTTGGAATTGTGTGTTTTGTTATATGTACCAATCTGAATGCAAAACAGACGCCTTTGTTGGTAGATTAGCTTTTTAAGGAATCTGAAATTACTGCTTTATTCCAGCCTATGGCTCAAATCTTATCTCAATCCCCCATTTCTCCTCCATCCCAATAAATACATCTATATATATTAATATCATATCTTCCCTTCCCAATCTTCCCTCATCAATGTTATTCATAATCTACTCCCCTAATTATTTCATCATCAATGCTTATTGATTCCTTAGACTTATTTAAGCCCTTAAATCTCTCTAAGGTAATAAAGAAAGCAATTAAGGTTTCAGGATTATTCAGCTCCTAAATTAAGTTTGTTGGCATCGGCGGTACACGAGCAAACGACGGGGTTCTCCTCCTTGCAGACCCATTTACTTCTTGTTCTCTATCATTTGTACATAAAATATTTTGTCCGTACTATAGTTGCTATAGTAGATTGAGATGGAGAAATCTGCAGACATTTTAAAATAAAGTCCCGGTTCGAATTACAATACTCCATGGATAACTTTTATCCCTTGTCTATCATTTATTCTCTTGGTGTTAATATATTTATATTATTTTAATTAATTATAGCTAACCGAGGAATTTTTAGATGCCTCTAATGTTTATATTAGAAGAAGAAGAAAAGTTAGCAGAAGAAGAAAAGAACAATTATTCATAGTTTGCAAATAATTGTTGCAAAATATGATAATTGTTCTTTTCATCAATTAAATGCATTTTGTAGGAAACTCTGACATTGCTAACAATATAAGAAAATAAAGAGAATTGGTTCCTTGTATTCTCTCTAAATATGTATAAGTGATGGTCTCTGTATATGGCCAAATTAACTCGTACTACTCTTCGTTGTTAATTGAACATAATCATTATACTAATTCTGATAGACCTGCATAATATTAGTATATATGTATATATCTAATTCAATCCCATAAAGAGACAATGCAGATTGTGAATTTTTTGCAACAGCCATGGTAGAAGAAACTCACTCTAACTATTTTATGTTTTTGTCCAAGAGGTGAGATATTCTTTACTTAATCAAACCTAACTCAACTGATCTTCTTTTTTGATTTTTCTACTAAAAAATTAAAGATTCATTAACAGAGACTCAAGATTCATTAATAATACCTGGCTAAAGATTAAATAATATGTATTGACTATATATTTGATTAATTTACTTCTTAGATAAGAATATTTCTTTGAAGATCTTAGTTTTAATTTGGTTTGTTGTATTCTTCATAAATGTGTGAGTAACATTTTGTGTATAATGTGTATTTTAAGGATATACACACATGTGCTACTGTTATTTGTATGTTATTATAAGGCTGAATTGGTGGACAGTACCAATAATGTAATTGATGGATAATGCATATTTGTAATCGTATAAATTTATTACTTATTGAAATTATTATTTTAATGTTGTACATGATCTGCTGCTTTGCTTAGGTTTTATTGGTGGATGACTGGTTTATAGTTTGATTTGCAATCATATACGGAATTAGAATGTAATGTGTTTTGGTGCCTAATTCGTGGGTCGAATACCATGTATTGCAGTACATGTCCGAATGTACATACTCGAGGTGTATGAGTTGGGATGTTTACACTTCAAATGTGTTATGGCATTTTATGTATATAGTTCGAATGTGTGTTGATATATACGGTGAACTACATACTCACAAATTGCACTTTTGAATGTTGTAGGTGATACATTTTCCCTTGTCAAGGTCTTCGTGACATTCGCCTCAGTCCCAGACACACCCCTTATTTTTCCGACCATTTATGGGGCAACTACCGTTCGCGACGTTGTCGGTGAAGATCCTATTGATTGGAACTACAAGGATGTTCGGATATACTTTCATACCTATCATTTATTGAATTCCAAAACTTGAAAAAAATATTACTTAAACTAAACCTCATTCTGTTGGTAATTGCAGCTCATGCGGCACCCCTGAAGCATATCAACCGATTCCTTAATGTTTTACCCCCGTTTGCCTTATGGATTGGATGCCGACGGCTATGTGAAATACCTATGGAATAGATGCATAGACATTTGGAATTATATTTTGTGTGGTGAGAATTGTGCTATGGATTGATGGATTTCCCCACTTGCTTATTACTAGGTTGGATGTTTAAAATGCTTGCGTTTTGTGGAACATAATTCCGTAGTGAAGATGTTGCTAGGCTTGTTTGATGGGTTACTTTATTTTGTTGTTTGGTGGTGGACATCGACTAGTAAATATTGTTATGTTAATATCCTATGTTGGGATTCCCCTATAGTATTTATTTTTTGCAATTATGGCCAATCGTTATATTTATAGCATAGTTGTATACAAAATTTCATTTGGTGTAAGAAAGATCACAACAGGTTAATTTGTTACACCCAATTTCAACTGTACCACAACTATTCTTTTTTATGAGACACTATTTTTTCATAACGAAAGGAAGAAATGACGTAACAAAATGTTTTTTTGGATGTTTGTTGTTACGACCAGTTCTGTGACCATAAGATGGATAGTTTTGTTAAGGGTTCAATGACATAACAAAAAAATAAAATGACGTAACAAAAAAATGAAATGACGTAACAAAAAGTTAATTTTGGATGTAACAAATATGAAGGGATAATTTTGTTACGGCCGGTTTTGTGACCATAAGAAAATATATTGTTTATTACGGCTTCAATGATGTAACAAAAAATCGTAACAAAAAGCGTACTCTGACAAGCGGTCATAGTAAATTTTTTGGTAACGTGAGGAACTTTTGTAACAAATATTGTGACTAAAAGTCCTGGCACACGCGTGGGAAGCTCGACTTTTATTACGAGAGAATATTCGTAACAAATATCGTAACAAAAAATTTGCCATAAGGAACGTTGGCCGAGAGTAGTAGTTACGAAAATGTGCGTGGCAAAAAACATTCGTTACGCGAGTACACATTACGGATAAAAGTCGTCACTAAGGCGTAGTAAATACGCAAATTACACGAAAATTGGCTTTTTGTTACGAATTTCCGGCCGTACCAAAAAACTGTTTTTTTGGTAATGTTGATATTCATATCTCGTTCATAACTTTGTGGCACAAAACACCTCGTCATGATTTCCTTCAACCGGGGCCAAGTATCAATCGGATTTCGTTGATGCCGTTCTCTATAACGTCTCTTCTTCTCCCACCAAGTTAATGCATAATCCCTGAATTCACAAATCGCCATTCGGAATTTCTTGCCATCCGAGTAATTATGGCAGTCAAATGCCATATTACACTTTGTTGTCCAATCTAAAAATTCCTCTGCCTCTCTTAATCCTCCAAAGGTGAGAAGGGTAATCCTAATGGTAAAAAGATCGTCATCCACTTCATCACGTCGATGATAAGTTCGGTCTCGTTCATAGAATGAGTGCTCTGAGTTACGACTATTGTGTGCGTCTGACCTCATTGAAGGACTCGCATCACGATGACGAGAAGCCTCAGCTGCATCATATCTACCCCGAATATCAGCTACTCCAGAAGGAACCTCAGTCCGTGGCGTCTCCAAAGATGTCAACTTGTGATTGAGGTCCTCCATTTTCTTATTCATGGTGTACTCTACATGATCCCAAGTTGCCCTTTGTTGCATGGATAAAGTTTTTTCCATTTTGGCCTTCAATTATTGCATACTCAATTCCAACAGCTCCTTGAATTTTTTAAAAGTGGCCATCCTGCATACAAAGACAAACTATATATATGTATATTGAAAAGTAAGTGCTCTCACTCTCTCTCACAACTTTCAGAAAGGAAAATCAGAAGCAACCACAATCAAAACAGAAGAAGCCTTTTGCAAATACCTCAAATAGTACGTCAGAACTCCTTCAAATGCAATACTCAAGGGAAGTAATGTCGAACAAAAACAAGACGCATCAAGTAGGAACCAAACTAGAGGATTCGACGCCAAACTATAATCGCAGAATGTAAAGAAAGTTTGACACAAGTTCTTATTCCACAATTAAGCAACAAGCTAGAATCGAAATCCCTAGCACATCATTTGATCATGACAATCTCTCCTAACTCAAAAGAACCCCCACAGAAGGATAGAACTACTTCCTCAAAACTGGTTTAGTGACTCTCAACTATGATTATCCAAATGATCGACAAAGCACTATAAAAAGAAGAGAAAGTGTGCTGCTCAATTTGTTTTTTTTTTTTTTTTTTTTTTTTTTTTTAATGCTCTAGGCTTTTACTTAATGTTTAGAGTGCTCCTTTTTCTAATTTATATTACCATCTTGGCTCTTTTATGGCACTTTTGCCACACTCCTCAAAAACAGGACGAAGTGCGCTATAACCAAATTCAAATGCTATTTCAGAGAGCTATTGAAAACCAAATCTCACGATTCCAAAAATTAGAATCAACCTCAGGGATTTACCTAACATGAAATAAAAGAATCACTCAATAATTCCCATCCAATTGAGAGCACTAAATCGAACAATTCGACTGCTCAAAACAGAAAATAGAATGCCGGACCCAAGATTTTCAGACTGACCAAAAACTGTCTTCCAAGTGTTTTTTGAAGATTTTGATATCACAGCATGGCGAAGCGGTGCTCACTGTATAGAGAACTCGATGCCGATTCCGAAACCTCCTCGCAATAGTAAATCGGAGTCGTATGCAAAAGTTACGGCCAAAATACGATTTACCGACAAAACTCACAAAAACACACTTCTAAGCCCTCAATTCACTCAATTCCATGATCATTTTATGTGTTTAGGCTCAAAACCAACCATATTACTCAATCAAAGTCTAAGAACACTTAGAAAACTACGAACAAAGCTTGTTAGTGCCGGCCAAAAATCACTACTACTTGTGTTTCTTGAGAGACAAATTCAACAACACAACTCATGTTTGACAACTAACAATGGATTGGAACTAGTTATCATTTCCACTAGAGAGGTACTTTTTGCAATAACGAAATGGCTATTTTCAGAAATTATGAACTATCTCCAAATAACATGAACTAAAACCAATGTTCTAACACAAATTTGATCAAACAAGACATAGAGACATATTATCGAACATGTTGTGGACAAGATTGCTACGAAATCTTATGATCAAATCAACAACCGCTCTGATACCAATTTATGACATGGATTAGGATCATCTCCACGAATCAAACTCGAAGACAAGTATCTAATATGTATTCGGGAACTTACAAATGCTGAATCAAAAATCGAAATAGAAATAGGATAAGTTGAATTCCAAAAGCAATCACTCCTCTCGAGCAAGCACTTTCGAGAATCCACGGACTGTCCGAGGCTTCCGATGCATCTTCCGTCTCTCATGCAATTGCATCTGAAGCTCAACAATCGAATTGCCCTCTCGGCGGATGGAATCACTCCAACTTTAAGGAATCTCTCCAAAGCTAAGTAAACCCTCTCTCAAAATGTTCTCATCTCAGTTGTGTGTCAATCAAGAAAATTAACAAGGCTATATATACTAAATGACAAATTAATCTAAGCCACACATCTTAAGTGGCAAACTAATCTAAACCACACATTTTGATTAAGATCAAAGGATCACAACCTCCAAGCAAACAAGTACCTTCGACCGGGTCCGGGTTGCAATCGGTCCGTCTAAGTTCGGATTAGGGTGATCTGGAGCCGTGTCAATAGTATTTTAAGGTAAGAGAAATAGCGTTTTCATTTCTTCACTATTTTTTTTCCCTTTTATGATATTGCACTTTATTATATTATATTTTACGCTCTATAGTTATAATTACAGTGCTTTTCGTCTAGGTTAAATAGTGCTTTAAGGGAATACAGTTAGTGCTTTTGTTTATTGTTTTCTTTTTCTTTTATTATATTGTACTTTATGGGATTTATACTCTATGCTCTATAGTTTTTATTAAAATGTTTTTCGTATTTGTTACATAGTGTTTTAAGGTAATATAAATAGCTATTTTGTTTCTAAATTGTTTTACCTTTTAATCATATTGAACTTTATGAGATTATACTCTATGCTCTAAAGTTATTATTACAGTGCTTTTCGTGTATGTTAAAAAGTGACTGAAGGGAATACAGTTAGTGCTTTTGTTTCTTGACTGCCTTTTCTTTTTATTATATTGTACTTTTTGGGATTTTTACGTGGTGCTCTATAGTTCTTATTACAGTGCTTTTCATATTTGTTACATAGTGTTTTAACGTAATATAAATAGCGCTTTTGTTTCTTCACTGTTTTTCCCATCTATTATATTGAACTTTATGAGATTATAGTTAGTGCTCTAGAGTTATGATTATAGTGCTTTTTGTGTATGTTAAAAAGTGCTTTAAGGGAATAGAGTTAGTGTTTTTTTTTCCTTGACTGCCCTTTCTTTTTATTATATTGTACTTTTTGGGATTTATACTCTGTGCTCTATAGTTTTTATTACAGTGCTTTTCGTATTTGTTAAATAGGGTTTTACGGTAATATAAAAAGCTCTTTTGTTTCTAAACTGTTTTTCCTTTTAATTATATGGCACTTTATGAGATTATACTCTGCGTTCCATAGTTCTTATTAAAGTGCTTTTCGTGTATGTAAAATAGTGCTTTAAGGGAATACAGTTAGTGCTTTTGTTTCTTGAATGCCTTTTCTTTTTATTATATTCTACTTTATGGGATTTATACTCTGTGATCTATAGTTCTTATTACAGTGTTTGTTGTATTTGTTACATAGTGTTTTAAGGTAATATAAATAGTATTTTTGTTTCTCAACTGTTTTTCCTTTTAATTATATAGCACTTTGTGAGATTATACTTTGTGTTCAAAAGTTATTATATTACAGTGCTTTTCGTGTATGTAAAATACTGCTTTAAGGGAATACAGTTAGTGCTTTTGTTTCTTAACTGCCTTTCTTTTTATTATATTGTACTTTATTGTATTTATACTATGTGCTCTATAGTTTTTATTACAGTGCTTTTCGTATTTGTTACATAGTTTTTAAAGGTAATATAAGAAGCCGTTTTGTTTTTTAACTGCCTTTCTTTTCATTATATTGCACTTTATGAGATTATATTTTGTGCTCTATAGTTATAATTACAGTCCTTTTCGTGTATGTTAAAACGTGCATTAAGGGAATACATTTAGTGCTTTTGTTTTTTGACTACCTTTTCTTTTTATTACATTGTACTTTATGGGATTTATACTCTGTGCTCTATTGTGCTTATTACAGTGCATTTTGTACTTGTTACATAGTATTTTATGGAAACACAGTTAGTGCTTTCGTTTC